TAAGCCTTGAATCTTATTTAAATTAAACAACAGATAAAACAATTTAAAAAACAATTTAAAATTGGTGCTTTTGTTTTAATGTCTTTAAATATGATTTAACCTTAAATTAAATACTTATTTTGTTATACTTAAATACAATATATAAGCAAATTGAGTACGTTGTACCCGAGAGATTAATTGGGGGTCTCTTTTTGTGTTCCCTATTAAGTACATTTAATGAGCCGACGCACACACACAATAAATAAACAAAATCAGGCATCAAATGGCCAAACACAAATTGTCAATTAAAAGGTATTTAAGCTTAATACCCAGGTCACACAGCCACGTCCACGTAAATTAGTGCAAAAATCAAGTGGATACCTTGATACCACGATTGACCCCACACGCATGAGCCCCCCGATTTTCCAGGAGCGGTACGAAATGTGAGAGGAATGGGGGACAAAGGCCACAGAGCAGGGCAACCGACACCAATAAAGCCAACAAAGCGTTTTTAGGGTTAAGTCCATGTCAAAGTGTCAGTTTAGTATCGGTATCATGTCATGTTGTCTGCTCGTTCATGGTGTGGAAATTGTTGTTGTTGTTGCTGTGGGTGATTTTTGGAGGCAATGGGTTGCTGTGGGTGGTGGGTGGTGGGGGGAGGTTTTAATTTCGTGTGTGCTATGTGGCAACATCAGGCCAAACAGACGTGTGCTCTCTGACCCTCTATCTCTGCCTTGAAATTGCGCTGAAGGTGCAACGTTTTACTAATGAATTTAACAAGGATGCTGGCTGCAAAAAGTGGGTGTGAAAAATGGGTGGATCCACGGTCAAAAAAATCTCGAAGGCTTCTCTTATTAAAATGGCTTACCAAATAAATTAGATTATAAAATGTTATTCTTAGGGGATATATAACTTCAAAATATTAAAAATATATATATAAATTAAATAAATTGGTGTCAAAACATATTTTATCTAGGCTCTGCATATGATTATGTGGGATTAATCTGAAATAAGGGATTAATAAAACCAATAAGTACTTTTTTTTTTTTACAGCATTCTTAAAACAAATAAAATTATAAAATAAATAAAACTGGTGCCATTGAATTATCTATAGTTTTAAAAGAACATAAGAGGTATACTGCAACATATTTCGAAAGTCCTATGGTTATCTTTATAAATAAGAATTTATATTTTACACACCCTATGTTCTGACCCCTTTAAGTTTGGTTTTAAAAATAGAAGGATTCTTTTGCTACAGCGTTTGAGCAGTATTTTTTTCACTGTAGAAAAAGGGGTAAGAGTAGCACGTTGCAGTGTTGCATGCTCATTAAAATGTCAGGGCAGCAGAAAGCAGTCTGGAGAGTCCAGCTCTTCTGGGGGCATCAGCTGCACTTTGTGGCACTGCTGTTTATCCTGCCAACATATTTTTCAAATGTTCCGTTTGCATAAGTGAAAAGGCCAAAAAAGGAAGATAACACACACATGCAGCAGGGGTGTACGTGGAGCTGGGGCTTCCCAACATTGGCGTCAACACAACAGGGGCAACAAGGGGTTAAGGAGTGGGCCAAAAATCTGCCAACAATGGCGCGTAAATTTACGACTCACCTACGCGACTAGACGTTCTTTCGACCGGGCCAAATGCTCTCATGGGGTGGTCCAAATTAAGGGAACGGGCAGAGCACATGTGTGCGGCATATTTAAATTTGTTTTTATCCACATTCAGGTTGCGCCTGTTAATCCAATAAAATTGCGTAATTAAATTTGCGCTTCATTTGGCGTTTGTCATGTTTGTCGTTGCGGTGACAAATTTTAAACCTGTTGTCTGCCATCCTAAAATAAAACCCATTTTCCCAATCCCAGTCGCAACAAAAAAAGCTGAGCTGAAACCAAAATTGTTGTACACGTAGTAATTTTTCAATTGCTGCATAATTGAAGGCAAACCAGTGGAGAAATGCGCACCAAAAAAAAATTGGCAAAATATTGGCAGCAAATTGTCGGCATGACAAAGTGGTTCAGGACCAAAAACCCCAGCTCCCATTTTTCAGCCTGTTGATGTGTGGCTTTGTTTGCCACTTTTATTTTTTATTTTTTTTTTTTTGTATTGTTTGCCATAGATTCGTGTCCTCTGGGGGAAAATGGAAAGTTGACTAGCAATTGTGTGAACGGCAGATGAAAAATGATTTTTAATTGTTGGGCGTTGAGTGTTGAGGGTTTTGTGGTTGGAGAAAAAAAGGGTGAAAATCAGTGAAACTCTTCCACATTTAGCGGGCTTTTTTATGCTGGCTGACGGACGAAGATAAAGTCATGTGCAATTGTGAAATTGATAAGCGCAAGTCTGCGACGACAACACACGGCACTTAATGCTTCCGGCCCTTTGGAGCAGGGGCCTCAAAGGAAGTCGATAAGGTCCATAGCCCGACAGACCCGATAAGGCCAGTGCATCGGTCGACGATGCAACAGAACTACGAGTATTCAAACGCTCCTCACATGGCGGCCGGCAAACTTTAAAGGAGCTGACAATCTTTAGCTAGAACAGCAGCCACACTCGAGAAAATTTCCATATATTTAAAAAAAAAACCTTTCAATATAAAGTATATTTATTAGAGAACAGAGGATTGAGAAAAAAAGAATATTAAAGAATTTTAAAAATTAATTAATTTCAATTTGTGTTTTTCAACATGGACCAAAATACCCTCTTAAATATTAAAAAAAATGTATTATTTCATTTTAACTTTCCTCTCACTTCATTTTATTTTTAAGCAAGCCACATTTCTAACTTCAGGTGCCTTCGATGGTTTAAAATACGATTTTTTGATTCATCTACCTTTAATAAATTGCTAATTTATTCCCCAAAAACCCCAAATATTTGGTAATAATATTTTGTTTCCGTTAAAAACATTTTGTGAGTGCACGGTGCCACGGGTGCCAAGCACGGAACGTCACTTTTCTTATCAGCCCGCTTAAGTTCGAATTGCGCCTCGGTTTTTTAACGGTTGGCAATGGGATAATGAGGTTGGTCGGCTCTACCATATATTTTCTTTAGAACAAAGCTTTACAAGCCCCTGTTCTTGGTTATTTGCGTGTGTTCGTTTCACATTATTCACTCAATCTGCGTTTCACATGTACTTGCATTCATAATTTGCGCAGTTTTTTACTACACAACCTACAGATTATTTTTGTACTCTTGTAAAAATAAATTAATGAATGTGTATTAATATATTACTTTTCAACTGTGTAGTATTTTCCTACATGCCAATTGCCAACATTTTTATTTTATATTACCAAATTTTTGAAAATATATTTTTATGTCTTTTTAAAAAATGTGATACGTCATAAGAGTGCTCTTATTTTAGTTGAACGCTTACACCTAACATAAAATCGAAAAAAAACCTACATTTTTCAGGTTTTCTATACAGAAATAAACTCCTAGCCTTTTGCTGGTTTTCGGAAATATTTTCTAGAGCATTTCCAAATTCGGATTGACCATTTCTATGAACGATTCTAGGGCGTCATCTTGTCTCCCAGTAGCGTGCCTCGATCCGCAAGTCGTCTGAGATAACTGCGAAATGCGTCAAAAGTCGACATCGGCTTGTGCCACAATTTTGGCGATTAAACAGAATGAAGACGGACCGGGATCGGGTTCGGGGGTGTATATACTAAATAATATGAGTGTGTGGACGCTGGCCATAATGATGAAATGTAATTTGGAGCACTGAGATGAGCGGCTGTCGGGCTGTTATCGCTGTCGCTTTTGCTTTGAGTTTAATTAAAAAGTTTCGCTCTTTGTGGCAGCGGCCGCAGCCGAAAGCACACTCCACATTCAAATGCATATTTTGATTTAATTTTTTTTTTCTCTATATATATATAATTAAAATACGTTCACGAATGCATTTTTAAGGCGTGTCTCTTTATTTTCGCTTGTGGCCAGCTGGGGAAAAAGCGAAGATAAACCGAAGAGCAAAGGATGCGGCAATATTAGTGTGTGCAAGATATTAACAGCATATTTGACATAACAATATGGAGAGTGTCCTGCGAAGGCAACAGCAACAGGAAGCAATTTCTCATCGTACTTGTATGCTAGTTTTTATTAGCCCACTCAAACCATCCACTTACACATCCACCCACCAAGAAAGCACTCTTCTTCTGGCAGGCAGGCATTCAAGGCATCCTCATAAGGATACAGAACTGCCACCAAGATTCTTGGCTTTGGCCAGGACATGCCGGGCAGCTCATAAGACAACATAAAGTATGACAGACATTTTGGCAACACTTTGCAGACCGTTAGCAGCCCCGGCTTTTTAAATTGTTAATGCCAGTGCGACTTGTTGGGGGTGTGGGAGTGGGGCTTATGCCCCGGAAAAGACAAAGGAGCTGTCATAATTCGCTGCAAAATATTGTCACCCAGCTAGCTGCACACTCATATGAGGCCAATTTGCCTTGGCCTGCCATTTCTTGGCTGCCTTTCTGGCAAGACATTAGTTCGCCATTATATGGGCCCTGCTCCCCCAAATCCTTTTCAGCTTTTCTTGCTTTTCGAGCTGCCCGGAAGTACGCGCCATTTTCTAATATTGTAACGGAAGCAATTAATATGATCATTACAATGCGAGAAATCCCAGCAACAGTCGTCTTAATGGTAATGCTCTCCATCAAGCTCTCGTTATGAGTTGGAAAACGAATAGAAATGTATAGGAGTGGGCTATGCTGAGACAGGATGTTGAGTAACCCTTCAAGAAGTGAAAAAATATAAAGAATAGGGGCATATAAAAGAAAAGACATTTCTTCGGAACTAAGCTTTATTAACTTAACAAAATCCCACGAAAAATAAATAAATATCAAAAAAAAAAGCGCATAAAACTTTGTAAAATCTATTTAATTAACTGTTCCCACCATAAATATCTGCCAAGTTTTCAGATTATTAAAAATAAAGGTAGACACCTTTTATAATTTACAATACGTTTATTTCAAAAGATTTCTGTTCAAGGCTGTTCAAGCTACGTTTTTCATTTACAATTTGCCTAAAACAAGCTATCCATATTTTAAAAATCAAGTTCAAATTTATTTCTTTTGTTTGATTACTCTTGATGAGAAGTAACAATACTCCTTAAATTGTACAATTTTATAAGTTTTCGACAGCGATATGTCATTTGCCATCCATTTCGATCGATCCATGCTGGTGGAGTACGGTGCTGCCTTTATGTATTACATTGAAAAGTACATGTTAATGGAGGTAATGAGCCGACTTCTAGCGGAGATTGCCGTTTCGGATGGAGTGACCGATGTGCGTCGGTGGATGGGCGAGAATATCAAGCGGATCGGTGTCGATATATATACCAAATCGTTGGACGCCTTTCATCGTGGAGTTGAGAGAGATTTCTACCAGCTGCCCAGGAATTTTTACCATCGCATCGTGCTCCATGGCAAACCAGGATCGGGTCGAAGCTCTTTGGCACATGTCTTAGCTCAACGTTGGAACTTACTCATTCTGGATGCCGATGTCTTGGCCTATCACAGCATAAATAGCCAGAAACAGGATGAGCACTCGCGATTGCTGCAGGAAGCCATTGAAAAGGATTGTGTGTACAAAAGGTCCCAGGCAGTGGGAAATCTCATTCAGAACAGACTCCTCAAGGATGATGCCCTGCACAGGGGTTGGATACTGATCAATTACCCAAACAATAAGTGTGAAGCTGAGGAACTCTTCGAGGGCTTCACTGTGCCCCCAAATCGATTTGTCTTCCTGCAAATCGATGAGCGTATGGCACGCATGCGAATTGTGCTGAATAGTTATTCGCCAGGACCTCAAGCTCACATTAGCTTTTTGGATCGCCAGATGGCCCAGTTCCGGAAAAGTGAACCTGCTCTTAATGCCTATCTCAGTCAGCGAAGAGAAGTTGTGTATGTGGATGCCTCACCTTGTTTCGAGCAAGTCAAATGTGAAATCATCTCGCAACTCACAAAAACTCCGTATGTTTTGGGTAAAAAGTATGGCGAGGCCAATGCCAAAATTTGAATTTGACTCAAGCTCTTCAAGCATCCAAATTGAGTAACAATGTGTGCTTTAAGTCCTTTCTCTGATTACTCTCGTTATTATTATTATTTGCTCAAGTGTCTGACGTTGTTTGTGTTTTTATTGCCTTGCTTTTTTTTGGGGTCAGGCCTATCAGACTTCTGACCGATTCCCCAACCACTCAGAAAAAAAATCCTACGTTTTCGTTTAGGTAAACAAGAAACGCAAGAGACACTTAAGTGGAAGTGGATGTGATAGAAAATATTTGGAAGAAATAATACCCTTTAAAAAAGTTTCGATAAGCGGGCTAGCTGAAGAATAAAAATATGTTTACCCAAAATATTTATTTTTAATTATTATTCTAAATTACTTCGAGCAGCAGGACTCCCTCAAATATGTCAATACATGTTTTATTTATCTAATTTCTTTAAACAGTTATCTATTTCTTATATCTAGATTAATATTATCTCAAAACCTAATAAACCAAAACGCATGAAACAGTACACCCTCATCCTTTTATAACCCTGAGTAGGAAAAGTGATTTGCTATTTGAATTTTCCACCACTGAAAAATGTGAACAGAAAAACAATAAAACTCCGAAAAAAAATGAGAGGGAAAAAGAGAAAAACAAATGATTTTATGACCACAACTTAAGTGCTCAATTTTTAATTGTTTGACGACGCTGATAAGACCCGCAGAGGAAAGCTGACAAAGGCGGGAGAGTTTTTTTTAATGGCACCCAAAAGTTCAATCAAAGTTTTATACATTTTCCCTCTTCTGCCCGCGGGACCTTGGGGTTCAAATTAGTCGCCAGCAGGTTGATGATTATTGGAGTAAATATCTTTATTTCTTGAGGCTGTCCCCAGTGGGCCGTAGCCCGACACACAAATAATTAAAAAACGCACTAAATCGTTAACAGAAAATAAATTTATTCACCACAATCTGGAGCTCAGTGCGAGAACAGAGAAACACTGTAATCAGAAGTAGATAATACACGAATTTTGTTTTTAAATTTAATTTTGTATAATTTTTAAAAGAAACAAATTATAAGTCATATAACAATATTTTTCAATGAACAATATACAATTTTTTTTCTTTAAAAATATGTTTCGCCATTTCTTTTTCCTTGAGTTATAGAAAATTTGTGACATTGTATTTGTAGTTTAAAATTAATATGGACTTGGCTTACAAAATTAGTATAAAAGTGGAAAAAAAGACGAAATCTATTTTAAAGTATTTGTTGTGTTTATTGTGTCATAACTTGGATAAACACAAGAAGATTTTTTTCTAGGAGTTTTTGGATATGGTTCAGAGGAGGCCTTTCAGGGCCTGCGTATTTTTCAGTATCGTTTTAGCGCACCACCTTAATGTCGTTGGTGAAGCAGCAGCGTTTTCCGCTAACGGGATCCTTGAAGGACCAACGGATGGTATAAGCACTCAGTGGAAACTTTGCCTCGATGGGCACTTCAGTGGTGTAGGTCTGCGTCACTCCGGATCTCAAGGGGCAAGTGGTGTACTTGCAGGCGTCTCGATCCATCGTGAGAAGGGGCAGTTCCTCCGTCTCAGATTTGGCCCATCCCAAAGTGGCCTCCACTCGGTCAGCATCGAAATTGGGAGTGAAATCGAAGCTCATCTTAGTGCTTCGTCTCCGGCGAACGTTGCAAGCTAAGTTTTGCTTGGCCTCGGGACACGGCATCACCCTCACCTGCTGGATTGTACAGCTGTCCACGCTGTCCGGACACGTTTGGAAGTTGATCACTTCGGCGGAGACGGATCCCAAGATCAGGACCGCGGCGACGACCAGCAGCGTGCTCAGACGCAACATGATGGATCGAAAGTCGGACACGGAATGCAAGCACAGGCCACGATTACGGACTTCGAAACGAAAGCGGCTAATCTTCGGACCCGTTGACCCCTAAAATCGGGTCACATCTGTGCCTACAATCATAAAGCGAAAGCGGTCACAAGCGTGTACCAACTGATTGCAAAGGAATTCCTTATCAAAATGTACTTTGAGTGAACATTTAAACATTTGAAAAATGAAATAATAAGCAAAAATATAAAATTACGAATTACACAAGTACAAATATTAAATTTATAAATTTTTACATCATAAATTCAAAGCTATCATTTTCCAACACATCTTCAATACGCTTTTTAAATGATATCAGATGACTGGTAAGTCCTTTCTGATACGTTTCAATTTTTAGATTTAAAAAAGATAAAATAACCAATATAATTTTGTTTTCTTAATTTAAAAACTAAGAGAGTAAAATAATTAAAAAGGGTTTCATAATGTATTTCATAAAAATTTTAACAAAAACTGGGACTTAATTTAGTCATATATATATTTCAAATTAAAATCTTTGTGCTTGGTAACCGGATTCATTGAAATAGCAATGCTCTATTATCAGCAGCATTCTTTTGTTCTCTGTCATTAAACTAATCGCTTTGAGGTAAAGCGAGCCTAATTAACCTAATTATAATGTGGGGAGAGTAAGACACTGAGGAACAAGAAAATTCAACGAGCAATCAATTTAATATTTTTGTATTTCAATGTTTAAGAAATACAATTAACTGAACTCCAAATATTTTTTGTTGCCAGAATTTGGAGTGACTTCTTAGCGCACAACCTTGATGTCGATGGTGAAGCAGCATCGCTTCTGGGAGACGGGGTCCTTCAAGGCCCATCGGATGGTGTAAGGACTCAGCGGGGACTTGGAGTCGACGGGCATGTTGTTGGTGTAGTTGTGCGTCACTCCGGATATCACGGGGCAACTGGTGTACTTGCAGGCCTCCCGATCCATCGTTAGCAGTGGCAGCTCCACCGTCTCCGATTTGACCCATCCCAAGCTGGCATCCAATTGATCGGCATCGAAGTGGGGCGTGAAAGTGAAGCTCATCGTGAATCTGTGCCTCCGCCGGACGAGGCAGGCGGTATTGAACTTCGCCTCCGGACATGGCGTCACCATCACCTGCTGGATCGTGCAGGTGTCCACGCTATCATCGCACATTTGAAAGTTCACTATTTCCGCGGAGACGGATGCCAAGAACCCGACGAAGGCAATTATTAGCAGCAAGCTCAAACGCAACATGGTGGTTCGAAAGTCGGACGCGGAATGCACGTACTAGCTACTATTGCGGACCAATCGATAGAATTATGATAATAGAAAAATTGTTAATCGGAATGTACTCAGTTTAGGAATACTCTCGAAAATAAAGCATATTGATTTATTCAAACAACTGTTTAAATGACAAGTAATTTTTTGTAATTAAATTAAAAACAATCGGCTTGTGGAAAATATTTCTAAGCACAATCAAAGAAGTTTTTAAATCACTAGAGATTTTTAATTAGCAGTCTTTTCAAATTAGTAAATAATTTAAATTATTCAAAAATTGTATTACCATATTTTTTTATTAAATCAATTTAGCCTCAGTTTTGCCATAGGGCATACAAATAATACAAATACAAATTTAAAAATATTTCTTATCAGCAGCAGGGCAGCAAACATTGTGTTATCACCAAGCAGATATGGACAGGGAAAATGGACCATAATTAGTTGTTATACTATAGGAAGAGAGTCCATTATAAAAACTCATTAGAAACAACTGACAAGCCGAGAATTTGAGCCGAACAGAAGAGTTGAAAGCAAAGCAAATGTAAATCCCAACATCCAAGACAAATGATGTCCAGTTGAGGCTGTCAATGCCCGTGTCGCAGATCTAAGGCATCTGCCCGGGGACAAAACCAATTGATTCCTGCACCCCGCGCCATATGCCAAATAAATCGTCACACTTTTCAGTGTCGGAACCCCGAGATGGAAACCGACAGTTGTCAGTCAGGGAAGCCGGAGATGAAAATGCAGAAAAAGATGAAGCCAAAGTCGAGCACACGTCGTCTGAAACACGTGACGAATCCCGCGGGTCTAGAGTTAGAGGTCCCCAGATATACTTTCAGTTTGACTATCGAACTGGGAGCTGTCAATAGGAGGCACCCCGACAATTGCACGGCTCATTTGCGGGAATGCATGTCAACAATCAGAGACAACAAACAACCGGCAAGGCGATTGACAACCTGACACCCCAAGGCACCACATCCCCCAAATACACAGTGCGAAAATGGCAGTGCATAACCAACCAATACAACTTGAATAAATCCCCATATAGGGAATTTAAAATAACAATAACTGCTTTAAACTTGTATAGTTTACAGCACAATATGAGAAATTTAAAACAACAATTACTAATTATTTCTATAAGAGGAATTTTAATTTGTATTCTTAATATTTTAACCTTATCGCAACTTTATATATTAAAATAAATCAAATTTAAATATAAATAACTTATTAAATAAATCAATGCTCTTTTCCCAGTGTTTTTCAGCACACAATGCAGAAATTGCAATTTGATGCAGACGCTTTTCCCACTTTATAGAGAAAACCCCAGGAGAATGCAATTAGCCGCTGAGCAGAACGGCAACATTTTCCTTATTTTTCCTCAATTTTCCATATCTCCGTTTTCATATGCAAAACATGTTTTCTGCGCTCTCAAATTTATATATCCAAAAATTGATAGAAAAGTTTTGCAGCCAGGGCATAATTAACACTCGACAAACGCGTTTCCCCTGCCGCCGGCTACCCCTAATGTTTTTTGCATAAATTATACAAAATATTCTACCCCCTTTCCCCTGGCACATTTCTTCAGTTTTATCGCCAGCGACTTTTGTGCCTTTTTTTTATCAAAGCCCAGTGAACGGTGAATCAACAGAACCGAAACCAAAACAGAATTAATTCATTAAAGAAATATGCAAAGCATTAAAAAACAACAAAAACAGCGACCAGAAAAAAATGGGAAAAGTATCAAGAACTTGATGACGGGGTGCTGGAGACGAACGAAAAAAAAAAATGAAATTTATGTTTTATTACTTAATGAACTTACCGCAAATTAAGCCAAGGGTGGACAAGGGCACAAGCCAGGGGAGGGGAAAAAAATCGGACTGAAAGATGAGGCCTTGTCTTCAATTAATATGCAAAAAATGTCAACATCGACGGTCGTCGCTGTTTCCGCTCATCAAAGTGGCAAAGGAGCAGGAAAATCGAGAAAATCCAGTCCAGAACACTTGAGACACCAAACAAGGAAGTGTCCGGACTGCAAATTGGTTTGCAATTAATGGGTACCATTTTTTAATTGAACACGCAAGCGGCAGTTAACGAAAAGTCGGATGAGGGGCCTTTTTTCAGAGTATTTCATGGTGAGTTACAAATATCGCCTAAGAATATCATACAAAAAGTTTATTTTTATTTTCTATTGATAAGTAGAGGTTTTAAAAGAGGTGTTTAGGCTTGGACAAAAAAAAAATCTAGTTTAAAAATATTTAAATTGCTCCATTGCAACAATTTAATAAAAACTTTCAAATACAAATAAAATGTATGTTTAAGGATTAAAGGTTTTTAATTCTTAAACTATTAAATATTTATTTAGTAGCTGCAATTTAACTTTAAGTACAATATCTGTTAAAAATTCAAATTAGGTTTGAGTAATTAAAATCTTACAAAAGATTTCTTTTAGCCTCCCTTTAATTTCGTTTTGTTTAGCCATTAGATTTTGGTATCCCGAAACTCTTTCATAAATTGCAGATGATGCCAAAGCCGGCCATCATTTGCGGGTTAAATGTAGCTTGTGATTTGCCCAGATTTGAGCTCCACTAATGTGACACCCCAACCGCTGAACCTCAACCCCTGCCCTTTTCCTTTAAATAAACCCCTATACCCCTGAGGTTTTCCTTGAAATGAGGGCGGCGAACTTGAGCAAATCACCTCAAGGGGCCATAAAAAAAACGGCGAGCAGCATGCCAAAGCGAATGGAAAATACAAATAGAAATAAGCGCCAAGCAAAAGCCGCCACCAAAACGAAAAAATAATGAACGCCCAGCTAAATCGCTGGGTTCTCTTATATTTGTTGGATTTTTATTTCTTGGAATAATCTAGCGAGCACACGACTAATCTTCGTTTAATTTCATTTGCGCCAAGCAAACCGAAATTGAAATAGACGAAAGACGAACGTCGAGGGGGAGTAGCGGGTGGAAATACCTACATTTACTCGGCAAGGACAATGTAAGGACATTTCGTCGAGCAGTGCAACATTTCATTGGCTGACGGGGAGATCAAAAGTATGCGACACCGTGGCTTAATTCGATTTTAACAATTGCAGCCAGCCAATGGCAAATGCCAAAGGACTTCGAAGTCCTGGTCCTGGTCCTGGTGCCGCCATTCCATTCTCCTCTAATTGAAGCAAAAGCGAGGGCGAAAGATGTCCTGGAGACGCTTTTCCTTGGGGCACATAAAATTAATCCGACGTGTGGCGCCGCTTCTTTGTCAGCGTCTTCAGCGATTTGAATTTAAATGTCGCTGTTGTTTTTTTATTCGTCTTTTTATTCCCTCTAAGCCAAGGAGGAAAAAAATATAAATAAAATGAAGTCGAGTCAAGGAACCTTCGCGAATTGAATTAAACGTGTCCTGCGCCCCCCCTCCCGGCAAAATTTTCCCATTTTAGGTGTGGACAAAGGGACAATAAATGAGCAGGGGGCCCCACCATCATCATCATCTGAGTGTATTGAAAATTTTATTGCCTGGAATAATTAGGCGAATTAAGCACACAAATTAATTGCCACTCGCAGCATATGTGAGAGAAAAATACAAGAGAAAAATAATAAGAGAGCGCAGTTCGAGTTCAAACTGATTTACTTTTATAGGCACAAAGCCCTGGCTTTGAAATTTACGAGTGTTAGTTTTTTTTTCTTTCGAGCTGATAAAAGTGAAGTAATCACACTCGGAGACAATTGTACTCAAAGGAAACGAGCCGAGTGAGCTCACTATCTGCTGATGTCTAATTGATCTAACTCATGCTGAACCTTGTGTATATTCTATATGTTCTTCTTTCGCTGACTAATCGGATTTCGATGTATTTTTGGTGACATCTGGTGATATATAAGTAAGTGATAAGAAATAAACCAGAATAAGTTAATGATTCACTCGAGAAAGATTGTCTCAAAAGCTTAGTTTTTGAACTCTAATTAACACACATGTCGAAATTAAACTTTAATTCAATAATTCACCCAAATGATATTTAAAACAAAACCATTTCTATTTCATTGTAGGCATGTGCTATTTATTAATTTAAAAATAATATTAATCTTATCTTTTCCTTATCTACCTTTATTCAGCAAAAATCAATTGTTCCTTAAATTTAATGATCCAAATGACTTTCACAAATAGTGGTAAAAATATTCAACTGCCTTAAAATGTAGTATCAAAATCTGAATCTTAAGTACATATATCATGTCGAAACCTTTTCAATTAATATCTGACACTCTTTCCCCACAATAATTCTTTACTTAGACAGCAGTGTCCAACTTTAGCCCAAGTCTTGTCTGTATAATGTAATACTTTTATCCCATTCTGCTTATCCATTTGCTTTTAAAACCCCCAGAATTAGTGGAAACATATGCATCATGCTTGCAGGCAAACAAAAACATTTCATGCAAAAAAGGTTTTTAATTTAAATTTCCTGACTTGACGTGTGGCATGTGCCGACGTTGTCGTCTTTGTGTCCCTTGATGTCTGAGTCTCAGTCTCAGTCTGAGTCTGGAGATCTGAGTCTGCACAAATGTGGGCAAACTGTCTCGGGGGCGAAGAAAAGGCCAAAGAAACTACCCACATACACAAACTCGCAGGCGTACGTACATTGGCCATGCACAATTGACGCTTACATTGTTCTCAAGAATTATTATGTGGTTCCCAGCATGTGTGCTCCTGGCCTCAGTTCCTGTGTTCCCCACTCCTCGCAACCTTATCACTACTTTACCTACAGCAGCAGGCGAAATTGGTTACAATCTCACCCAAAAGAATGGCCGTTTTATCTGGGCCATCAAGTCCAACACACATGTGGCAGACCCTCAGCCTTAAATTGAATCCCTTGGCGAGCTGAGGCAGAGGTAAGAGTGCTCCTTAACCCACTCAACCACTTACCTCATCCCTTTCAGAAAAGGAACACTCTAAGCACTGGAAAAATGGAAGCCATCTCAAAATCTTGCTTAAAAATATACTAAACTTTTAAATGACTTTGAACCTAAAAATAGT